GTCGTTTTCTAGGTCGTCGTTTTCTAGGTCATCGTTTTCTAGGTCGTCGTTTTCTAGGTCGTTGTTTTCTAGGTCGTCGTTTTCTAGGTCGTTGTTTTCTTGGTCGTCGTTTTCTAGGTCGTAGGTCTTCGTTTTCTAGGTCGTCGTTTTCTAGACACCCAGTTACGGGAACGACTAACGATTCATTTTTCAAATAATCAATTCATTAATAGAATCTTGGGGGGTACGCTTGACCTGTTTTGACTGTAAAACACTTTGCTGGCTCTCGAACTGGATCCAGCGGAGCGTACAAGAGAACGCTGGTAGCGGGGAAAGGAGAGCTGAACTTCGAAGATCTACAAGAAAGCTGTAATCAATTATTAAAGTAAGTTCCTGGCGGCTTTATAACGTCTTTAACCAGCAATACCAAAAATCGTTTTCAACAATCTGGTCGTTGATAAAGCGTAGCCTGCGTGGTAGGCGTTTGAGGTCAAACAGCAGATAAAAAGCACACAGCTGTTTCTTCTATAGTGAGTAAAACAAGCCGTTGGGAGATGAAACTTCTCAAAACCAGTCAGTAAAACTTATCTAGCTGACAGATTTTTTCCTCATACGGTTCTTTTAACTGTCTTCTTATATTCTCCACTTCAAGCTGAAATTGATGCCTTCAGTTTCTACTTCTAACGATAAATTCCGTACAGACCTCTCATCACCGCTTCACTAACAAAATATTTTTAAATGATTACTGAAAGATCGATTTAGTTTATGGTAGTCTTTACACTAGAGCCTAAATAAGCTAAGAAATATTTCAAGACAAGTAAATTTTAATTACTTCAAGTAAAATAAAGCTTCACACACAACCGATTCCTTTTTACTTCAGGTTATTTTCCCACGCAACAAAATTAAGATTGATTGACATGTCTCACCTTTCTCAAAGCTCAAGAAACCGCAAAACCGCAAGTCAGCTAAGTCAGTCATAAGGATGGTTTTCAAGTCGCTTGAAACTTTCTTGAATCGTTTCAACTTTCCGACTTTAATGAAATGCAAAGCAAAGTTTTCCTTCCCTCCCTCCGCGCGGCCCTCGCGTTTCTCTCGCGCCTAAAACTCCCTTTCCCTTCCCTTTCAAACGCCTGCCACGCAGGCTAATCTAATGAATTCCCTACGATTTTCTTAACCTTTAACTTTTTGTATTTCACTCCTCAGGTTACGCCCTTTTTCGTAGAAAAAGAAAACCTAAAATTTTCGGATTCGAAAATGCGATGGAGAGAGGAATCAGAAAAATTCTCACTTTCGTAAAACGTCAAATTGCATCTAAAAGTTTCGGGAAAATAATACCCCAGCCCTTGCAGTTTCGAAAAGATTCCAGTTCCCCTAGGATGACCGAACAGATACAAACTTTACAAAGTGGATAGAATGCATTTTTAGAGATCTTAAAGTACTCTGGATAGCCTAAAAAGTGTTTTCAATGCGTTTAGGAGGAAACAGTCGTTGGGTCCCCTTGCTGATCCCAGTCCAACCTTCCTTTGTAAATTGCACACGCAAATTTTCAAATGTGTTTGCTAAAGAGTTTAGTACGATGTAGTGCAGTTATCACACTTGTATCGAGACAAAAATTAAATTCCCTCTTTATTTTTCAGCCGTTGCGTTTTCCAGTTTTTCTTTATTTTTTTTCTTCTCTATCATCCGTTAAATCTTATTTACACATGAAATTCTATAGGAAAATTCATTACCTGACTCGTGAATTCCACGTTAAATTGCACCCGAAAACCGATATCGCACGAATCGCGAAGCGATGAGTGCGATATCGGAGCGCGCTCCAGAAAGCCATTTCAAAGTCAACTGTCAGAACTGTCATTGCGAATAGGAAGCAAGTCAGTCGTACACGTTTGACCCTTCGACAACTTTTTTTGTACCTTGTGCTTGTTTTTACATTTGTTTTCAAACCTTTTTACGTGTAAACAAACTTCACACTAATCGTAAGGATAAATAGAGGTATTTCACTAAATTTATAAGCCGTTTATCTATAACATCTTTTTTCAAATTGGTAATTTGCTCGAGAAGGAAAATAATTTACACCTTTTACCTCTTCGGCGGCAAAACTGAAAGAAATGTAGTGTCCAAGCGAAAGCACTGAAGGTTTAACGTCGCGATTGATATATGGTAAGTACCTTGAAATGTTTTAGAGATGCTGTTCAAGTTCAGCTCTGTTTTGTACTTTTCTAAGCATCATGATTCAGGACGATTGCAAGCGGCGTACTCTTTTTCGTGTTTTCACTGAGGGGCCATGACGTCTTTGAAGGTATTTATTTCTTCTCCTGTATATGTGACAATCGACCCCGGCACTTCCTCCGCTGTCGTTTCTCCGTTTTGTTTGGTTGAACTTTGGCTTGCCATTTTCTGGGCCGTGTTCACAAGATTTTCTTGTTTTATCGTTGTCGCAAGCGAAAGAGGTTTTTTATGCCTCTTCGAGAATTTGTAGTTCACTTCAAAACAAGGAAGAACCTCCGGCTCACTATAAAAAAACGCTTTTGTTTGTTTTTAACTCTTCAAAAGGTGACAATGGTTTTGAAAACATTTTAAAATGACATTGTAGAAAACCTTTTTTGCAGTTGTTGCTTTAGAATTTGACGATAGTTGTTACGTAGATGCGAAAAAATATCGCTTAGCCTCGTTTTCAACTCGCAATTCCACACTAAATACCTCGCTTCGTTAACCAATCAGAATGCGAGATTTTACTCAATTATGCGATTCTTCTGTTAATTCTTATGGCACCGGGGTATATATACCGCATCTTTTTATCATCGCACGAGATTGTTGACCTCGGGAATCAAACTTTTACTGTTGCAAGCCAGTACCACCATAGCCTCCCACGCAGGCGTTCACGGTGGTAGTAAAATGATAGCGGAGTTCTCGCGAGCGCGAAGGGCGCGTAGCGGAGCATCCAAGAAATAGGGAGTTTAAGATACGGCGACTACGGACTACGACTACGGATAAACATGCTACTGCGCATGATCAAAACCACGTGACTGTTCATTTTTCCCGCGTAGTCCTGCGGCTACGGTGAGTTGTTAAGCTGTTTCGCGTAGTCGCGACTACGGAGAACATTTTGCTCGTATTTTGCCGTCCGGTAATTCAAGAATCTCATCTTTTCGTAAAAAAGTTTTCAATTCACCTGCTTTAAGTGAGAGGGAAGCGAAATATGTAAGTTGTGTCCAATTTCTGCTCAGATTTACGCTTTTAATCGACTGTTGTGATTCAAATCTTTCTAGCTAAGCTCATATTAAGCTCAGATGTTTATACGCAGAATTCAGATTGACGGCGTAGGAGAAGAGAAAACATGCAGGTAATTTACTTTCTCTTCGCACTTGAAAAGTTTCAATGTTTGGTCGAATTGATCATTGTGTCTTTCTACGTGTGTAACCTTTGTTTAGGCGAGTTTTTGAATCGCGCCATTTGCTGAATGAAAATGATGTAAACATCTTCGAGACAATCGAAACTCGGCATTTCAATACTTCAAACTACATCAGATCAGTAGTCGGAGAAGTCCATCCTCTAAATCTAATAAATGAGCTATTACTATTTCTGTCTATATCTCTAATATTTGACATAAGTATTCATGGGCGAAAAAATAAAACCTGTGTAACCAAAACTTTGTTTACCAATTTCACCTGACGTAATTGCTTCCTTCAAGTATGGAAGAATTTCTTCATTGTTCTAAAGATAAGATCACACGCAAAACTGACTTGCATTTTTGTGAACTGTGATGAAAACAAGAAAATCTTTGCGTGTTGTTTCCCTCTCCGCCTCTTCTCTCGTAGTTTACTGTCTGTAGTGCAATCTTAACGTTCTATATTTGCACGACTCAACCCAGTGCTACGAACAAAGGACAACGCTCGTCCAGCTGTAGTTCGTAGTCCGTAGTCTCCGTATCTTAAACTCCCTAATATTAGACTGCGAGCAGTCCCTCTTCGGTCAGTCACGTCTAAGCTCGGCAGGACTGGAGAGAGCGAATTGTCGCTCGCTTCGCACTCGCGCTTTCCTCGCTCGCGTGAATTCGCTCTCTCCAGTCCTGCCGAGCTTAGACGTGACTGACCGAAGAGGGACTGCTCGCAGTCTACCCTAATATCGTCCGTACGTCCGCCCCTTCACGTAAGCTGAAGTGAAATTTTGAATTTCGAGCACCTCGCGCGTTTCGGCGGTAAAATTGCGTGGCCGCCCGGACTTTTAGAGAGAAAAACAACAACAACAACCGACAAAAGCCGCGAGTCTTTATTTCGACTAAATTTTAATGTCTACATTAACGTGGGTAACAAGGAAAGAGCTAGAGCGAGAAATAGAAAACGGATGGTGGCCGGGAGCGAGTTGAAAACGTACGCGGAGGAAACGACGGAAAAAAAAACGAGGAGATAGTGGGGGCGAGAGCTCCCTTTTTCCTCTCTAGTCTCTTCCGTTTTTGTTTGTCTCGACAATTTTTCGACCGCGCTCTATTATCTGAACACCTGAAACAGGCTAGTCACATCACGGTATACTAAAATGATATCGAGGAATGTTCCATCACAGTAGTAAAATGATACAAAGGTAGAAAATGTTCCGTCACGGTAATAAAATGATATGAAGAAAGAAAATGTTCCATTACGGTGGCAAAATGATATCAAGGTATGATGTTTATATCACGGTATATAGTAAAATGATCTGAAGGAAGAAAATGTTCCATCATGGTAATAAAATGATGCAATGGTAGAAAATGGTCCATCACGGTAGTACTGAATGATATCAAGGTAGGAAATATTCCATCACTGAATGATATCAAGGTAAAGAAGAACCATGGTAAGTGGATTCAGTAACACACGGAACATTTGCAGAAGTTCCGCCAAATAAACCATCACGGTAACAAATGTTTTTAAAACAAACGGCGCGCCATAGGCACCACCCGATGCGCGCGTTGTTTTTAAAGAGTTGACTGTAACAGATTCAGTGAAATCGTTTTCTAATTAGTATCTTTTCCCCCATTCGTTGCAGTCATGGACACGTCTGAAACCGGAACGGAGACTTCTACAAGCATTGCAAGTACCACCGGACTCACAAACAGGCCACGAAATCAGCATAAAAACTGCCGGTTCATTCGCCTGGCGCCTCTCATCTGCGTCTTCGTTGGCTGTTCATTGACAGTTGTTGGTCAAGTTGCTTCGCAGAAAAGCTGCGAGATTGCAGGCCCGGTAGTTATTGCTATGGGTGGACTACTTCTTATTTTCCTAACATTTTGGGATTCAAGGAATAAACTTACTGATGGCACTTGTTCCGGTGAAGAAGAGGTTGTGAACACGCCTCAGACATTTTCCAACAAATGCCTCAACACTGATGAAGCAGCTGATTTGGGCTCCATTCATCATTTTGAAATCTTCACTCCAACCGAAGAATCTGTTATCGAAATGGTGCCTCCTTCATACGAAATAGCGGTGGGCGAAAAGGAAAACATTTCAAAATAACCGACTGAACAATGGGGGGTAGATTATAATGGAAGAATTAAAAGGCATCCGACTCTCCATACCAAAAAATCCGTTCAAGAAGTAAATTGACAGTGAATTTACTTAAAAATGATCTGTGGTAAATTGATCAGGAACGCGAAAAACTAAAACTCTTCGTGGACCGTATTCCCGTGAGAGTCATGGCTCCTCTCCCGGGCTCCTCGCTTTCGCTTGTATCGCGTGACTCGTCGGAGGAGAGGTGGGTAGGGTACCTGAGAGCCGCTCTCCGTTTACCACAGAACTCAACAAAAAATACAAACAATCTGTTTTATTTTTGTAAGTTATAAACGAACCAACAAGCTGGCCATTCGCTCGCCATGAAGTAGTGACCGACTATTTAATGTCTTCAGTGTAGTGCGATCATGCTGAAAGGATGCGGAAGCTTACACTAAATTTACTTCTTTGTTACACTTACGGTGTTTAACGTCACATCCTGCCAAAATAACTACTTTCCCTTTGTCAAAAACGTCATTTTACCACAGGAAATTTTAATGCTTTAGAAAGTTATGAAATTTACAAAGTGACGGAAGCCTTAGGTTACCCATTTCAAAAGTGAGAAAACCCACAATTGTAGTAGTGGAGTCGACCCCGGCTTATCGAATTTTTTTTTTTTACGGCAAGGCTATACAAACTCAGTCGACGAATGTTTTTTTTTCGGAAAATAGGTCTTATACTTTAGCATTTTATTTTTCCTTTGTCTTCCGCTTTTTTTCATTTTTTGGAAAGTTTAATTAAATTCTGTATTTATAGCCAGAAAGAACGTTCAGACTGTAAGATTAATTATTGCCGGAATAGCTAAGAACATTTTAGTCGTTGTGAAGTTCAGATTTTCTGTTGATGATTGTTTATTAAATATGATTTTTAAAGTAAGCTACAGTGCCAACCGTAACGTGCCCGTAAGAAAGTTATCGATTTCAACTGATGATGGGTATAATAAAATTAAGAAATCAAGAAAATATTTAGGGGAAAAATAGTACACATGTGCTGTATGTAGCTAAACTGTACTGAGCATAATTCAGAATACATTTGGTAATATGACCTTTAAAAATAGTAAATCAAGCCTCCTCGGAAACATTTTTAAAAGAGCATCCTGTACCCTGCGAGCAGATCTAGGAAGATCGAAGGGCCTCTACCAGCAGGGTAAGCAATAAGGGTAATCCTGAGGCTCTACGCAATATTCAGTCACTGTTCTTGACAGCCTCAACTCGAGTCATTTTATTTGCGCTAACTTCTGAATCTCTCCAAGCTTATTTTCTCAATAAGTAAATAGTTAGTATAACTTTAGTTGCTTGACTTAAAACTTCCTGTGTTGCTGAATTTTCGCTCTGTTGTGGCTTTTCCGCATGGCTCTCCTCAACCATTTTTTCCTTTCCTGTTGTTTCTGAGTAATTTTAAAATTCGTGCCTTCTCATAAACCTCTTCAGTTTCTCAAAGCTGAATCACGTACGGTTGTAAGGAACAACAACAAACTTAGTTTGTGGCTTAATTCTTGGCAGTCAGTTTTGCAAATCATAATATAAAAATGGTATTGGCTGTGTTTTTCCTATCTATTATAGTCTCATCCTGTGTTCAGAACTGCCAATACTTTTTTTGTTTTTTGTTTTTGTTTTTTTTGTTTTTTGTTTTTTAGAACTGCCAATACTGCATGTGCAAGTTATGGTCCAACGAACCAGGTGTAATTTATCCTGTAATTAAATTGATGTTAACCATCACATGGAGCGTATCTCTTATCATAGTAACTCCTGATGGCTAAGATTTCTTTTCTATGAAGTTGATTTTCTTGAAAAATATCAGAAATATGATGAATTTCATTACATCACCCGACCGACCCATATTTATGGAAATATGAAAAACAAAGGTGGTTAGAATAATTACATTTCATTAACCTTAGGGCGCTTTCCATTTGTCAGAACTGGCCGGCGGCCAGACCGTGCCTTCCCGACGTAATGAGAATTTCACTGTTAATCAAAACTATTTGGCCAGATTAGTCAAATCCTAAATAATGTGCAGGAAGGCGATGGTTTTTCGGCAAAAACCCATGGAAAAAGCCAATTTCATCGTCAAAATGACTGGTCCGGCCGGCCAGTTCTGACAAATGGAAAGCGCCGTAAGAGAAAAATTTCCTTTCTTCTGTATAAAACGTATTTAAAGGTCTTTAAAGACACGACGTTTAATATTGATATTTATGTTTGTAACTGTATTATTTTGTTAAGACACGGGTTTCCCGAAGAAAAAGTGACCTTGAACTCATCTTGTTGTGGATTTATTTACATGCTACAGACCTAACTGTTCAAACTGATTCACAACGAATGAATCATGATCAGTTTTATAGTTTAGACTCTTGTTTAGACGATATATGATTCAGAGGGCTGCCCTATAATAGACAAAAGAGAGAGAGAGATGGGAAACAAAACTTTTTACGGGCATGGCCTAACTTGAGCTTGTGAACATCGACACTGTTTACGGCTTGCTCATAACCAAGACTCTTTATATTCTTTATGTCATTTTGAGATAATTGTCAGCAATTCCTTTTCAGTTCTACTTTTTAAAGGTTGGCTGACCGTTAACAATTGATAATTTTCATTTAACACAGGAACCAGTTCTCCCTGGATAGCTCCTGTTTTGGGGTAGCTATGGTGAATCCTTGCTGACTTCACGGTTCCGTATCATTGAAAACAAGCCATAAAAAAAGAGTTTTTTTGTTGACGTGATATATAATTAGGTTAGTTATATTTTTTTCAATTCGCTTAACCCTATATCAATCTACTTGGCTTTTATTCACGTAAGTAGTGAAATCAGTTAAGTGTTTAGTTCTGTTCAGTGACTAAGCATTTTCATCAAAAATTAAAGATGTCAAATCGTAGATCAGAGGTTTTTCGCGTCTTGAGGACCTAACCTGAGATCAGGGTCTATATTCGATAGAACTGCTAAAATTGAGTCTCTGCATGAGTCTTAGTTTATAATGACCAACCAACATTCAAAAACATAAATATGTTGATATTTTAACGAGTGTAAGCCTCAGGGCGTGAGAAAGGTATACTGGGTGAGCATATTTTGGCTTTTAAACCAGTAGACTTAATTTACTAAATATTTTGTCCTTTCTTATGAAAATCGGGATGCTACAACTGACATGTCATATTATCGTCAAGGGTAAGCCCAAGACCGTTGCAAACCAGTTGCTATGTTCAACTTAGTCGAGACGATTTGTTGTAAAGAAATAGTTTCAAAATATTTATCTTCGAGATTCAAATAGAACAGAAAATACGTCAGACATACGATATTACTAGTTGAACAGTCCAAACAAACAAACTGGGTGTCAAAGTTCATCATCAATTAATGATTTTATAAAAATAATAAAGTAACTTAATCAAGGAATTATGCCACTGCAGGTAGTGACGGTGCAAAATATCTAATTCAGAGGCGTTGTTTACCTTTCCTAGCCTACCTAGGCTTGCTTTTTTAGTGATTGCCACATACTAAGTTTAATATGGAGATAAAGTCTTATAGATCCAAGGGACAATTAATATATGAGACATTTTCAATTCCTGCCATTCTAGCTTAGGATAGTGGACTGACTAGTGCATTACGTATTCCGTTTCGGTCTGTTGCTTTACAGTGAAAAAAAGTTCCTCACTAAACAATATTATAGACAACTAATGGGTATACAAGTTTTAGTTGACCTGTCTGTTAGAGAAACCAGAATATCTTTTAATTCTATGGGGATGCGAAAGATCGATGACTTAGAATAAAGCAGCTTCTCGATTGTAATCGAGTTAGCTCACTTTTGATATCTATTCACAAAATATAAGGAAGAAGTTTTTTTCAAATCAAAATCACTTTACCTTGTTTCTGCTATGTTGGGGCTAATGAAGTTGTATGAGCTCAGTGCTCTAACTTCAAGAATGTAATACTGCCACATCACAGGCGCCTACAAAAGAAACGAGTCAACTAAGGCTTATAGACATTCAGTACAAAATAAACTGACACATGAAGAAGAATACTGTCCTCAAAAACTGAATATTTCACGGAGAAAGTTTCTGAAAGTACAGGACGGCTAAATAATAGCATCATGACTTAAAATAGTGGGAAATTTCTTAAAACTTTCACGTGACCAGTACACCAACTGTTCTAGATATCGTAGTAGTTGTGAACTACAATAGCGCGAATATCTATAACACGTCACCGACAAAAAACCGAGGAAAACGTGCTTCTGTTTTAATCTATAATTGATTCTACTGATATCCTTGGAACTTTGCAAAGTATTACCTCAGAAAAAACGAGAAAATGTGAAAACGGAAAGAAACCGGCACCGCAGCCGTTCCGCGACGGTGCCGTCAAGACGTCACTCATGTAGTATTCCGGCAAAGAAGATCAAAAGATAGTGGTGATCAGATATTCTTTATTAAATTCCGTTACTTTATTAACAACGATTCCGGGCGTAATAGCTTTTATTGAGTGTGAAGAAACTTAGTTAAAAATGTACATGTCTTCTAAAGTATTGAGCCATTTTCGACGTGATGTCGTTTGTCACTCAGTATCACGTCCCATTGGCGTATTGCGGTTAATTAATTTTATGACTGAAGTAACCTGTATCTGCTCTTGCCATTGTATAAAGAAGGGGTTTTCCTTCCAAACAAATTTACATTTAAGAAATGATGATCGCAAAAAAGCAGTTTATAGTTTCATTGTCATTCACCACACTCCAAATCGTGTGAATTATTGTTCGATTTTTATATCACTTGTTCCAAACATGAGTAGTAAAAATGATCACCCGTATTTATTATCAAAGTATTTTGAATGCTTGGAAGAAGAAATAAGGGTCCTTAAAATACAGTAACGGTGGTATCGATTGTCTTTTTTCTTTCTTCAGAACGCTTTGAAAATGTTCTTAATGTAAAATTTTCTCACTAATTTTGGTTTATACATACATACATTAGTAATGTTTACGTGATATTCCGATG